CGCACCGGCCACTCCTATATAGGATCCGAACCTGCAGCGGGAGCATCGCTGCGCTCCCAGCGCCACACTCTCCCGAGTGCGCCACAGGGCCAGCCCTTAATTCAATTTTTTTGAAAAAATATAATGCCTGTTATTCTTATGAACTATAGAAATAAAGCTTTTTAAAATCTTGATAAAGAGTTTATGAAGAGGTTACACTGATCAAGTAATCTGGCAAATACATAATTTTTAGAGCACATATTTGGAGGTGACATGTAATCTTATTTATGCCTGGGCTATGTAATGTGTACTGCTGTTCCTACTACATACTATAACAACCCAATAGAAAAAAATGGGCAAAAGTTAAAAGAGGCTGTTACCAGAAAAAATACAGAAGGCCAATAAACAGAATTTTTTTCAACTTTATTTGTGATCAGGGAAATGCATTTGAACAATAATCATTTTTGCCTGTTAGGTTGGTAAAATTTTTTTAAATGATATCCAGTATTGATGAATGTGTGGGGAAGCAGTCACCTTTGATATGGTAATTGGGGAAGGGGTAATTATATAACCTTTTTGGAGAGTATATTTATAAGAATTTTAAGGATGGACTCAGTGATTCCACATTAGGAATTTTTCCTACAAAAATCTCACACAACTAGGTAAAGGCTGTTCATTGCAGTGTTTTGTTTTGTTTTATTTTTAGGTCCCCTCCCCTCTGAAATGGAAAGGACTTAAATGTCCATCAATCAGTAGGGAAATAGGAGATATACTAAAATTTAGTCATGGAAATACCATGCAGTAGTTAAAAGAATGAGGTACTTATATTTGTACAAACGTGAAAAGCTGTCTCCAAAATATTGAGTGAAAAAAGCAAGACACAAAGTAGTATATATACAAGGACTATAATCCTATTTATATCTTAAAAATTAAAAATCTGTGTGTATCTAGAAAGGAGTTTGGAACACTATGCACAACTGTTAGCTGTGTCCTTGGTGAATGAGGAGGACAGGCAAGAGGAGATCGTTAAAGGGAGAATACTTAAAGATTATTTTTTAAAGTAGGGAAAAACAACCAATAAAAGTGCTTGAATCCTAAAAGTAAAAGGATGGGGTGAGGGGGAGCACAGTTGCATGTCACCTATCCAGAACCTTTGAGAAACAGGCATTTCATGAGCCACTTACAGAATTATTGGAAGTCTAACCTATTAAGTGGTTAGTCAATTGGCATATATTTGAGAGCCTACTTACTATGTGTCAGACACTAAGCACTAATATATTTTTATTTTTAATTATTTGGAGAGGAATTAGTAAAGTATTTTACACTTTTTACCTTACGTACAGAGCACTATGTAAATATAGTTTAACCCAATCTTTCCCAGCCCTTTTCATATCAGAAAATTCAGGGCAAATGATTATATTTTTAAAGCACAGTGGGGTAAGCCATTGTGAGGTAAACCAATGAGCCAACTAAGGTTGCTTCCTAGCTGAGGGGACTAACCTGGGGACTTCAGCCCTGCCCAGTCATCTGTAAATGCTGAAGGGATCAATTTCTGGAGCCACCCATAATTCTGCATGGCATAAGAAGTTGTCCTTTAACCTGTTGATTTGTTTATATTCGTTAACATTAGTTTTCATACTATGCTGAAATATAATGGTATTCTCAGGGATAGAATGTTTTCCAGTGTGTCCTTTCCTATCAACTAATCTGTTTCTTACTTGGGGTAAGCTTCTAGTTACCACCAAAGTATAGGACCAGATTTTGAAGGTATAGACTGCTTAGCTAAATTGAGTAGACCTTATCCTATAAATGTTTAGTAGCCCACACTGATTGTTTTTGAGGAAAAGCACATATTTGAAATTTAAAATCTTAATCTGATGTTTCTAACTGGGACATATCAAAGATATTGTCACTGCTTTTATCCCTTCCAGAAATATTACATAATTTAAATTTTATAATGGATGTGAAATTTTCTAAAAGGTTATAATGAAATCTTTTTTTTTAAAGGAAGTAGTTATAATAAATAAATAATCCTTCCAGAAAATTAAAAATAAAATTTAGTCTGAGAGCAACATATAAAATAAAATTTTCAGGAGAGAAATTAGAAGTAGTGAGACCAGTTAAGTGGAGAACTGCAGTGATGACCGGTAGGAGGAGAAAATGATCTGATAGTGGGAATGGGAAGTATATACAGATGGAACAAGCAAAACTTCGTATGGGGGAATTAGGGAGAAATTAAGGATGGACCAGTATTTCATATTTTAATAGAATGATGATAGGCTTGTAAAAATAAAGACATCAAGATAACAAGCAAAATTTTAGAAATAGAGTTTGGTGTTAGGGATGGTGAATGTTAAAGTGACACAAAGTTTCATGTCAAGTTATTTGGGAAGAGAAGCAGACTAGAAATTCATATTTGGAAATCAGATATAAAAATGATAACTGGAAGCAGAGAGATAGATGAGTTATCTAAAGAAGAAAGTGTCATTTGTGCCTGAAAATAAGGTAATTATTTTTTTTCTCTCCAAAAATTGTCCCTCAGAAAAGAGGAAGCTGCCTTATGTTCAAGTTACTTACAAAATGACTAATACAGGGTGATGATCTCTTAGTTACTTTATTTTGACTTGTTTGGAGAAGACACACTGGCCTGAAATCACCATTGTTTTTTGGATGCCTGACAACTAAAATTTAGTCAAGTAAGAGGAGGCCGGAGAATTGAGCGTTTGATTTTTAGCAATGTCTTGGTCATTGTTGAGCTTGAAAGAGCGATTTCTATGGAGTAATGAGAAAGAAAGACTTCTTGGACTAGGTTCAATAGAGAATAGGAAAGGAAGAGAAGGCAGACACAAAGGGAACTCTTGGAGAGTTTGGCTATAAAGTAGTTCGAAGGAATGGGCTAATATTATAGAGAAGCATAAGGTCCAGGGACAGGTTCATTGACTGATTGATTTTTTTAAAGATGGGAGATATTATAGTGTTTGTATACTGATATGAATGAACCATACCAAATAGAAGATTGCTGATGCAAGGGGTTGGGGGGGACAACTTTAGCTCATTTAATTTATGGAAAATGTGTGCCTTAAAATCCAATTGGCAAAACCATTTCTTATCATCAAACAATCAAGTCAAACTTACTTTTTGTCAGAAAAGGTTTGTCTTCATATTTTGCTAGGCTCCCTGGGAACTTTTATACCCTAGGGCCATATACTTTAATAAGATCTGAAATAAATTGGAGAAATATCTTTCTCCTATAAAGTGAAAGAAAGGGCAAGTCATTTTTAGAAAAGAGTTCATATGGAGGTTGGAATCTGGAAATCAACTTTCTTAAAGCTCTACATGCCCATCTACACCATGGAGAGTCTTAGATTATCCCAGGGGTAAATGTACACCAGTTTAAAGACATGTTCTAGGATATGTAGGTGATTCCCAAACTAGTGCTAATGACAGTGAAAACATTGGTGTCAAATAATGCCAAAAGTGGGATGAATTTGTTTCATGAAATGTGAGAATGAAAGGGAGAAAATCAATTTTCTTAATATTTTTATAAAATATTATTTTAAATATGTATATGCAATTAACTAATTCCTATTATAGACATTTGATTATTTCACTTACGTCCCTAGAATTGTATATATTCAAATTGTGACCAAAAAGGAAAAAAGTGGTATCGTCTCATTACAAAAAAGAAAGGATGGGCTTATTTTTGGCATAGATGGTGTCGTAAAATCTTACCTGACTGTGGGTGGGTCCACAGTCTTCTCGAGATTAGGATCCTTGAGTTCCATGGGAGAAAGGGAGCATCTGCAGAGATCTCCTACATTGAGGATCCACAGTAGTTCCCACAATTGGCCTGTCTTTAAGAATTTGAATTTCAAATTCAAATTTGGCATGAAGTATCAAAATTTTACTCTGGGACATTCCAGAACAAAATTACATGCACATTGCTTTTCAGTCTTTTGGCTAAGATCAAGTGTACAAATTTACATGCACCCCAATTCTGATATATTACCGTTACTGATTTGTATCTCATTTAATAAAACGTAAATTTTTTTTTTCCTTTTTGTCTTTTTTCGTGACCGGCAACGGATCGCAACCCTCAGTGTCGTGCCCGTACCGGACCGGGACCGGCCACGGGATCGCAACCCTCGGTGTTGCTCCCGCCCCTCGCTCAACCAGTGAGCGGCTGGTCTGTATGTGGGATCCGAACCCTCGGCGGGAGCGCCACCGCACTTCCCAAGCGGCGCACTATAGCAGTGCGCCACTGGGCCGGCCCAAAACGTAAATTTTTTTATTAGTCTGAGTGAAATAGTAAGAGTAGAACATTACCGTACCACAGAGGTCAAGAACATGGTTTAAGGACTTAAATGAGTTAATTAATAAAGTATCCCAAGGCTCTTAGCCCGAAATTTACCTAGTTTACTAAAAAATTAAAATAGAGGGACCTGACAAAAGTCTGTGGACGGATTGTGAAACCCATTATTATTATCATCACTGAAAAATCAAAGCATGTGTCTTCCTGACATACTCAAATAAGGAGAAAATATGGTTAATGTTAGACAGGTGTCATAAATGAAAACTTAAAGTAAAAAGTCAGCTTTTAAATGATTTCATGTATGATGTTTTATTTATTTTTATGGAAGAATATAATTTTGTTTCCTTGGAAGTATTCCCAAATATTAAAGAATACCCTTTGGAGCTAAGAATGTCATGAAATACTTCCTGAAGAACCTTAGTCCACCATTTAATTTCTCCATTACCTCCACACTGCCAGGCCACAGTTCTTGTTCTTACTCTGTGCAAACATGCGTTTCTTATATCAGCACAAAGACTACAAACAATTCAGTTGGGTTTTTGTAGAGAGTATAGAGAAATTTGGAGAAAGGCTTCATCGGGTATTTAAAAAATCATAAACTTACTACTTCAGAGGAGATAAATTTCTTTTTTGATCACAATATGATATTAATTAGTTGTTTTAAATCTGGCTAATTATTGCATTATAATTCATTATTTTTTATTCACAGGGCTTCATTATTTCAAAAATGTTGTGCTGGTGGGCTCTCTACAAGATCGCTATGTTCCTTATCACTCTGCCCGCATTGAAATGTGCAAAACAGCCTTAAAGGACAAACAGTCAGGTAAATTAAAAGTATTTCAAAGAGTTGTATCTATGAATGAGCTTTTCCCAAATTTTTTTGTGGTCACTTTCTTTTTTCTCTCACCCTTCTCTTTCCTCTTACTTCCTTTCCACCGATTTTAATAGCTGTTCTTCCTCCGTTTTTCTTCCTTTCTTCGTCTCCTGCCATGTCAGCTGTCTATATCAGTGAAATTGTTCTTTCATCTTATTACAAGTGCTCCTCCATTTTGCTGCCTCAAAAGTAATCCATACTTTGATTCCCTCCAGATTATTGGGATTGGTGATTTTGGTACTGGTCCATGCTGCATATTCTGTTCTTCCTCACTTATAGGCAAAGATGGCAGCATACCCCTTTTTACTGATAGTGAGTGATGAAGATTTTATTTAGTTTATTCTTTTGCTGTTTGTGAATAACAGAAGAAATTTAAATCATAGCTATTTGGAGCCTCAAGGATACTTAGGTCCTGTTGCTTATTTTATGTAACTGAGACTCAGATGCTAAGTGGCAAAGGCACTGTAAATTACAGGCTTAAGGCAAAAACTTGGATCTTCTACCTCCCGATATTGCCTCAGTTTCTTTTTTGGAATGAGGCTGATTTTAAACTCTTGATCTTTTGCTTTTTTCACATTGTCAAGGTAAAAGAGGCCCTTTAGGGCAAGGCCTCTCTTATGCATATTTGTATTGGCAATGCCTAGCACGTAGTACTCCATTTATTTAACAAATATTTCTTGTGCGTTGGCGACATCAGAATAACCTTTTTGTAAATAACTTCTAGCCCACTTAAGGGGAAAATTCAGAAGATATTTAACATTCAGATGGATAGATAAATGTCCTTTGTTTTTTTTTTGTTTGTTTGTTTGAAATTCAGAAGATATTTAACATTCAGATGGATAGATAAATGTCCTTTGTTTTTTTTTTGTTTTTTTTTTGTTTTTGTCTTTTTTCGTGTCCGGCAACGGATCGCAACCCTCAGTGCGCACCCATACCGGACCGGGACCAGCAACGGGATCGCAACCCTCGGCGTTGCGCCCGCACCTTGCTCAGCCAGTGAGCGGGAAGCGGTCTGTATGTGGGATCCGAACCCTTGGCGGGAGCACCGCCGCGCTTCCAAGCAGCGCACTGTAGCAGTGCGCCACTGGGCCGGCCCATAAATGTCCTTTGTTTTAACAGTGACATTTTGTGCCTCTAGGGATGGGGGGATCTAATGAAGACGTGTTTGGAATTCTTCCTATGTAAACATGTTTTAAAAATAGCATGGAACCAGAAATTCAACTTGACTAACAATGAAAACTAAAGAGGAGTAGTGGAACTAAAAAGTTTTTCTATGAATTTATATATCTTTTTCTTAAACACCTCTCTCCTCTTTCTCTGGTTGTACTTCTATATACTCTTCTCTTCTTGTCATTCCTCAGGGCTACATCCTACCTCTCTTCTGAAATTTAATATCCACTTTCCTAAAATACTAAAATTCACAGGTTCCGTGGATATGTTGGTACTCATCTATTAGTGATATAGTAGTGCATAAGCATTATAAACAATGTTTTGTCCCTTATAAGGCAGTTTGTACATTTATGTGTACATACATCTAATCTTTACCTTTTGTGCTTAGTATTACCTCAATAAATCCATTGTAAGAATTAACCAAAAAGAGGGAGAGAGTAATACAACTTTGAGTTAAAAGCAGAACCAAGTATTAAACAAACCTTCAGACTAAAAAAGTATCCTGTTCTTTGAGCCCAGCTCACATTGTTCTTTTGACTGTAGGAAGTTGCTATTCTTTCTCAAAATAACTTGGAAGTGCTGACTGCCACAGAACCATTTTTAACTTACTTGCTGTAGACTAAAGTTTTTAATTTTGCTGTTCACCTGTTTCACTGTGGCTAGCTTATTTTTGTAATGGTTTAATAAGTTATAAGTGACTTAATGTTGAAGAAAACTATTTGCTTTGTTATATGCATTGCTTTGAGTTAAAAATATCAAATTGACAAGAATAATGTATAATAAATTTATTTTTACTTGGCTGGATAAATAATGTGATTATATTTTCTGTGAGTTTCAAAAATGATAGCTGTGAAAAAAACCTTTTGAAAGACATTTTTCTGCTTCACATGGAAATAATCTGACTAAATTTTATAAATTATGTAAAATTTTGCATAGAATATTTTTCAGTTACTCATGTGAACTAATTTTTTTTTATCCATTTGTTCCACAGGACAGATCTATTCAGAAATGATCCACAACTTGCTTCGCCCAGTTCTGCAAAGCAAGGACTGTAATTTGGTTCGATATAATGTCATCAACGCATTGCCCAATACAGCTGATTCACTCATTGGGAGAGCTGCACATATAGCTGTTCTTGATTCAGAAATATTTTTAGAGAAATTCTTTCTGGTTGCTGCCCTCAAATATTTCCAGTAGGGTAAAAGCATTGTTAGAGACTTGACAATTACCTCATTCAACAATGATTCAAATAATGTATTATATTAAAATGTAAATGCTAATAAGTTCTAAGAAATATTTATACCTTTTTATATGGAAGATAATTTATATCATCCATGTTTAGAGCTTTTTAAAACATCAACTTTACTTTCTAGGTAATGTGGCTGTGCAATATTTTTTTAATTTTATCTTTTTACTTTTCTATTACTTTTTCATATATTTTGCTACCTAAGTATTTCAGTGAAACTTTAAGCACATATGTGTGTGTCTGATTGTTTATTATTGCCTTTTCACAATCCTTACATCAGACTACATCATATTAGAGGCCATTAGTGCTGGAATAGCATGGGATTTTAAATTTTCTAGTATTGGGGTATTATTTAGTTAATTATAAATCTTACTTTTAACATTTTACTGTGTTTTAACTGGAAATAAAGTTATGGCTGCTAAAATATATTTTTTGAAATCAATTTCTTTTAGTCCTAAAATATACCTTTATCATCTGATCAAACCAGGCAGTTCATATGTGATAATGTTATAGAAGTTTTCTATTAAGTCATTACTGTTGCTGTTAAACATGTCATACCTATTACAGTATATTTTCTACTGGTGATTTCAACATTATTTCTCATATTGACTTTTATTACTGGAACTTTACTTGTTCATGTTAGCAGCATATAAAGATTTTTTAATATTTGTCCTCTGCTTTGATTTGGTTGGCATTTTGCTAAATTTGGTAATGTTGCTTGAACTTTCTGACTATATTTCTTTAACTTTTTTCATGGACTTTCTTATATGTACATAGTAATTAAATGTTGGAATTCATGAAGTACTTTTATGAATTTAGATAATTTTTAAATATTAAAATTTACTGAACTAAAGGATAATGTAAATAAAATTATTTGTGTTAAAAGTGGAACAAAATAATTAACTTTACATGTTTGGTGATGTAGATGCAAATGTTTGATATATGGAGATGTTGAGACTTGACTTTACTAAAGGTGCTGAGTAGCATTAAATTCACTATTTTTCTTTCCTGTTTTACTTGTGAAAATAATAATGCACTAAGGGTGACTAGAAGGTCTGTTTGCCTTCACCAATTGTGATGACGGAAGATTTTTGTAAGTATGTATTGTACAATTGATGCATGCTTATTTTTAGCATCGTGTTATTGCCTCTGATGTTAATAAATGAACAAATGACTATCTAGAGGAGCAGCTAAAATGCTTGTAATCGTTCGCTTATTCTCAAAATACTAGAGGTATATATTTTTATTTATAATTAGATATATTATATTAACTAGCTCTATAGACCAACATAATTGTGTAACTTATAGCCTTTGTAAAGTATTTTTATAATTTACATCATAGATATATTATATTAACTAGCTCTATAGACCAACATAATTGTGTAACTTATAGCCTTTGTATTTTTATAATTTACATCTTTTGTATATATTAGGTATTTAAAAGAATTTCATTGATTGCTCTTGATAATTCTTTGCTTCTTAAAAAATACTGGAGGGGCTGGCCGGTCAGCTCAGTTGGTTAGAGCATGGCCTTGTAACACCAAGGTCAAGGGTTCAGTTCTCTGTACCAGCCAGCTACCAAAAATAAATAAATAAATTAAATTAAATAAAAAATACTGGAAAATTCCATAAATTGACTAAGCAATAATATACCAAGTACATTATAGCTGGAAGATGTAAATATATGCATTATTGACCATGCATTTTTGCTACACATTTTTTATCTTCATCTTATATGCCATGTTTGAAATGTCATGAGTATTCTAAGTTTGGATCTCTTCCAGGTTTATCAAGACTTATTCTTGCTTATAATCATATAAGTAGTACTTAAGGGTAAAGTGTTCTTATAATCATGGTTGATTGGTGTTTGGTTATTTTAATACAGTTTTAAAAACACATTAGTGATCGTGGTTTAAAATCTAACAAATTTAACTTCAAATTTATTAGGGAAGCCATTATATATCATTCACCTTCAAATTCAGATAGTGGGAGGGTACGGTACAGTTCTGACGGAGAGGGGAAAAGATTATTTGAAATGCTATAATTAACTCTTAGATAATGAACCTTATTGAAGCATAATACCAAGAAGGGTCCATGGTTGCAAACAACAAAAAAGAATTATGATTAACTTAAGCAGAAAAATAATTCATTGGAAGAATATCGGGTAGCTCACAGAATTGACTGAAAGGCTGAAGAACCAGGTTTGGAAAACAGAAACCAAAGGAAACTAGATGACCTAAACCATAGCCATTTCTGACCTTAAGAAGAGCTGGAAGATTGTGTTAGTGATACTACTGAAAACTGGATTTCAAATACTTATTTGCATCACTCACTCCATTTTCAAAGTCTGGTGGGAATGTCTGCCTGACCAAGTTTAAGTTGTGTACCAGGGAGCCTCTCAGCTTCCTTCCACAGTAGAAAATGGGACCATTTCTTCTACCAAGATTCATCAAACATCTGAAATGGGTTTGATGACAGCACCAAATATAAAAACATATCCGAGATCTACTATAGCCCATCTGTTTGTCTTTCCAATATCTGTATAAACCATTCTCCCATATGTACACATTTAAAATGCTTTCTTCTGAAAATACTTCTGTTTCTCATCTACCTTCAAGTCCAAGATCTCAGTGTGATGTTCTCTAATTCTGTAATGATCTTGTCTCAGTGTTTTGCAACCCGTAGACAAAATTGTGTTACCTAACCACCACCCCTAGAAATAAAGCTAAGAGCAGTGCTTTGCAAGTTTCTTTGGTGAGAATTACCTGGGCTACTTGTTAAAAATACAAATCCTGGGTCCCCACTACCGGCCAACAGTCAGAATTTCCAGTGTAGTGCATAGTTAGCAGCATGTTTCATATCCCAAACTTCTCTGATTAAAAACCACCTATGGTATATACAGTTAATTCTGCTACTGGTCATGAGTCTAAATGGTTATGAGTTCTCACCACTGTCACTTATTCCCTGTTTCCTTTGTGTCCAACCAGCATCTCGGCTCATCAGAGGTGTGGGTGATCTTGCCTATATATGGTTGCAATAGTCTTTGCAGAATGTTTATATTAACATGGTATAGTGAAGACGTATTGCAGGAGACTTCCTGAGTTCTAATCATACTCCTCTCCCTACTCCCTTTTCCAAAAAACCTCATGGTCGTCAGGACCTATCATCATAACCACTTTTTCTGACCTCCTTATATAATACAGAAATGAGCTAAAGGTGGCCAGGTGGCAATCCCAACTTCCAATTTAGAGAAAACATTGTATCCTTTTGTGGAAGTACTCCTCCTCTGGGTACAAAAATTGCTGCACCAACAGGACCTGGAATCATGGAGATAGATGGCCAGAGCAGTGAAGGGTCTGAGATTTTATCCTGCTTGCAAGCTAACAGGTTGGCCTCCCACAGTTTCGTGGATATGACAGGAGACTCCTGGTTAAGAGACAAACAACGTTATTTGTGCAGTTTCCAGAGTGTCAGCAAATTGGCTTCAGTTCCTGGAGCTTCAATTCCCACAGTGTGATGCAAAGACTGGGTGACATTTTGTACACAGGGTGGGTTGCTTTACAAGAAAACAATCCAGGGTCAAGGATCTAGCAGTTTTTGAGCAAGCAGCAAACGAGCCAGTCTCCCTTCCCTAGGGGGCAGCACTTAAATGGTAGTAATGCTTGTGATTGCCTTGACCTACTTAGTTGCCTATATGACTAGATAACAAACTTCTCAGTATCAGAAGATGGATGAGACTTGCAGTCCAGCACACTAGGGAATAATATGCAGGGACACTCAGGGCCCATGTCTCTTCTCTCCCCACAATGGAAAGCAAAATATATGGGCACTGTGTGAGATATAATAGTCAAGTGTCAATCCCTCTTCTACTCTTCGGACCGTTTTTCTGTCAACAGAAGTAATAACATGGAATACTGTTAACTCATTTGGAGCATGTTACAAGTCCTGTAGGACAGTATCCCAAAGTTTATTTTTCCCACCTGGTTCCAATACTAAACCTTCAATAAGGCTGTCCATCATTCTATAAGACCAGTTACTTTGGGATGACAAAATACATGATAAGACTGATTAATACTGTAGGCATCAGTTCCCTGATTTACATTTTTCACAGAAAAATAAGTTCTTTGATAAGCATGTTGTTGAGGATGTGTGGAGAAAAAGGTATTCAGTAAGTCCACAGATGCAGTGTATAACAGAAACGTTAATCAGGTAAAGAAATCCAAACCTAGAATAATTGTCTGTTCCTAGAAGAACAAATTGCTACCTCTTTCATGATAGCAGGTTTCTATTATAATGAGACCTGCCACCCAGGTCCGAATCCACATAATACTATATGGGGATAAAGTTAGTCACTGCAGTTGGCAAGTATTCGTGCTAGCCAGTCACTTGTAGCAGGAGAAAGACTATGTTAAAAGTACATGCATGTCTTCATTTTTGCCACCATGGCTACCCTGTTAGTGGGTACACTGATCAAACATCTGTAGTGGGGGAAGGAGGCTGATGTCCACAGAATGGATCACTGTGGTAGGCAGCCCTTGTGTAATTTCCCCCCTTTGAGAATAGGCTGGACCTAATGATAGAATACAGAAAATGAGCTGTGATGTCACTACTGAGCTTAGATTACAAAAAGACTGTGGCTTCCCTCTTGAGTGGTCATTCTTGCACTTTGGTTTACTCATTGCGTGGAAAGGCAGCTGCTATGTTGTGAGATGACCTTTGGAGAAGCCCATGTAGCAAGGAATTGAGGGAGGTCTCCGGTCCAAAAGTCCATAATGGCCTAAACCCTGCCTATAATCATGTGAGTGAGCTTGTAAGCGGATCTTCCCCTACATGTGCCTTCCATATGAGATTGGAATCCCAGCCAACTGGCTGCAAATCTCATTTAGGACCTAGAGCAGAGGCACTCTGACATCTGGATTCCTGACCCACAAAAAATGGTGAGAGAATAATTGTTTACTGGCCTAAGCCTCTAAATTTTGTTGTAGTTTGTTAGGCAGCAATAGATGACAAATACAAGGGTACTTCAAAAAGTCCATGGAAAAATAGAATTAAAAGATAATAAGAATCTTTCCATGAACTTTTTGAAGACCCCTCACATGATAATGCTCTAATTAAGAGCCTTTCTGCAATGGGAGCCTTTTTTTGAGCATTCAATGGGACCCAAATATTATGCTTTGGGGCCACTTTGAGAGGTCTTATGCCAAAGAACTATTCCAGAACCTTTACACTCCCAGTCCCTGAGCACTTGACTAAACCAGTCACACTGCCCATGAAATGATGTCTAGATCTTTATCTCAAGCCATATCTCCTTTAGGAAAAGTGTACAAGATAAACTAAGTTCTGCTCTTCGGGAAGATTTTTTTTTTTCCCCTCTGCTTTTCCTTGAGGAAATGGGGCTCTAAATGCCAAAAGTAGTCCAATGCCAGCTGAGTCAGTGTACTGAGCAAAGCCATCCATAGTCCATCTTTGAATTTTTTCCTCAGTTGTCATTAAGTTGCAAATATGAGTGTGAGCTACCTGCTAATGAAAATTTCTTGAGTTTGTTGCTGGTCCTATTCTGTACTTCCTCTTAGTGAAAGACTCTTTCCTTATCTAGAAGGACTTGATAACTCTCAGTTCATAAGAAACTTTTCTTTAAAAATAAAAAAGACAAAAGACAAAATTCTATGGATTCATTGTGATTCAGTAGAAACTTCCACAGGTTGCATAAAGCACCCTGATCTGCCACATACGCTCCAAACATCTTTGGAGCTGTTGGAATTTAAGAGTTAATTGGCAGAGCTCCTTGCACTGCAGTCTGGACCAGATGGACAGTATTCTTTTGCTCTGCACCTCACACAAAAATGTTACTTTTCAGATCATCTTGAGATAGGAGGTGCTCAGTTTCCCTGGGTTAAGGTTACAAGACACCCCTCTGAGTCTCGAGCCACTCCCCGAAAGTCTCAAGCCCCTCCTCTTGGCCCTCACCTAGAGGGAAGTTACTGTTGCTTATTATGCTTATTTTCTGCACCAACACAGGAAATTGAGACCTCAGGGGTCAGACTTATGCAAATCCAGTGGCTGGGTATGCTCAGTAGAAAGAGGTTGTATAACCCTACCTAGTAGCCGAGCATGTTCAGTAAAGTGGTACTTATCCTTTGAATGACCTTTCCAATAGAGGTAATAAAGAGCATGGAATATGCTTCAATACTGTCTGGTGCATGTGATAGAATTTGACCAATAACCATGCCCTAAAAGGAGACCAACTGAGCATGTGCAAGACTATGTTACATAACTGTGAACCGCACCCTTAGTTGAACCGTCATTAGATTTCATGAATATGCATTAGATAGCAAAACTATAAAAGTGGAATCCCAGGAAAAGGCTAGGTTGCTGTTGCTTACTTTCCTGGGGCCATCCCATAGTACTTCCATGGCTGAGTTGTGTATGTTTCCTTTTTGTATCAAACTTATCTTCAGCAAGCAGCTGCTCACTCCCTAGAGCCAGCCTGCACTTTGTGAATGTGCATTTCTTACTTTTGTATTAAACCGGGTGTGGGCCCTGCTCAGTCTCTGGAACTAGGCCACACTCTCTCTGTGAAATCTGTACCTCCTATCTGTTACATTAAACCTGTTTTTGCTTTCCAATGTGATTCTACTCTTGAATTCTTTCCTGTGGCAGAGTCAAGAACCTGGTAAGAGGTCAGGGTGGATTGAGGCTGGCCATCAGGCCTCCCCAGACTGACAAGTTAGGAGCTTATTGAACAGGGAGAAAAAAATTTTATTTTCTTTTTTTTATTGAAACAATTGATTATACATAACTGTTGGGAACAGAGCTGAATATCAATACCTGTGTGCAATATGTGATGCTCGTATCAGGATAATTAGTATGCAAAACATAATCATTATGTCCATTAACCAATTTCTTGCTAATCCTCCACCGCCTCCTCCTTTCTCACTCCTGGTAACCGCAGTTCTGTTCTCCCCTTTTGAAAGTTCAATGTATTATTGGGATTGTTGTATCTTTCTTTTTTATTTGTTTATTTTTTAGCTTCCACTTAGGAATAAGGACATGCAGTATTTCGCCTTCTATGCCTGGCTTATTTTACTTATAATTTTCTCCAAGTTCATTCATGGTGTTGCAAATGGCAGAATTTTATTCTTTTTTACAGCAGAGTAGTATTCCACTGTGTTTATATACCACATTTTCCTTATTCAGTTGTCCTTTGATGGACATTTAGGTCGGTTCCAACTCTTGGCTATTGTAAATAGAGCTGCGATAAACATGGGACTGCAGGTGTCTCTTCAATATAATGACTTCCATTCCTTTGGGTAAATACCCAGCACTAGGATTGCTGGATCATATGGCAGTTCTATCTGCAGTTATTTAAAAACCTCCACACTATTTTCTCCATACTATATTTTCTGTAGTGGCTGTACAATTTACATTCCCACCACATCCTCACCAGCATTTGTTAGTCTGTCTTTCTATATAGCCAGTCTAACTGGGGTGAAATGTTATCTCACTGTGGTTTTGATTTGTATTTCCCTGATGCTTAGTGATGTTGGGCATTTTTTCATGTGTCTGTTTGGCCATTAGTCTATCTTCCTTCGAGAAATGCCTCTTCAGCTGCTTCGCCCATTTTTTAATCAGGTTTTTTCACTGTTGTTTGAGTTCCTTGTATATTCTGGATATCAATCCCTGAACAAGTAGAAATTTAAAACATAAAAGAGAGGGAGAATGAGATTAATAAAAAGAGCATATGTGCACGAGAGTAAAGGGTGTACATTTTTATACTATAAAAGGGACCTAGAGACCATTTGCCTCATACTGAGAGGGGTAAACAGAATTATTCCCTCATCTAACTTTAGCCATGATTTGGCGATAAAAAGAGCATATGTGCACGAGAGTAAAGGGTGTACATTTTTATACTATAAAAGGGACCTTCTAAGAGACCATTTGCCTCATACTGAGAGGGGTAAACAGAATTATTCCCTCATCTAACTTTAGCCATGATTTGGCACTTTAATAAACACAGACTTCAGAGTAGTTTAGGTAGTCTTAGTGACACAGCTGAGCCACTCCAGATTCATTGTCTGCTGGAATCGGGGCCAGGAGCGTGGATTCCTAGTGCAGCCTACGGAGGCCCCGCCCCGCCTCACGGAGGCCCCGCCCCTCCTGCTGGGCCGGCCAGGACGCCCACGCTTGTACCCTGGCCCACTCGGCTGCGCCTGCGCGGACCGTGAGGTAGTCGACGCCATTGACAGCATGAACGTATCACGGCTTGCCGGCTTGTTCGGCCTCCTCCCGGCCACAGCGTGGAGATCAGCAAGTAAGGCGCCTGGCCCCGGGGCCAGTATAGCGGGCTGGGCCGCAAAGGCGCGGGCGCCGAGAGCAGCGTTTCCCGCGGTGTAAGCCGAGGTGTGTCCCTGACTTTAGAAAGCTCTGGGGCTGCCGAGTTCTCTTCGGCTCGACCACTCGCGCCGTGGCCCTGGGCAGGTCCCTGCACCGCCCCGGATCTCAGGGGTGGGATTAGAGCAGAAGGTCGCGATGACCCTTTCAGCCCAGATGTCCGCCAAGAAGGGCCGTAAACGTTCCGGGATGTTTAAGGGGTGCTCGCTGGGCGCCCTGCACTTTGATGTCCCTGAAAAAAATGGAAAAGAAAGCGCTTTGGGAATGAGGGTCACTCATTTACTTATCTGTTTGCATCAAAAAAGATTGTGCCAGTTTACGGTATAAAAAATACTGGAAATGTGCAGAAGTGGGGCGAAAGCAAATGGGTATAATAAAAATTAGACGAAGCCAGGAATTTGTTAGTACAGAAAAAGCATACATGCTTTCCATAAAAACCAAAAAAAGTAACCATTTTTGTTGGAAATCTTTCTCACTGTATTAGAGTATCAACCCACAGAGTATGCTACACACAAAATTTGTCAATTAAAAAAATACGTTGTAAAAAAATTTTTGAAGTGCTGTATCTTTTAGTAATGTTATCTAATTCTCTTATTTTATTTTTCAATTTTCTGCGGGTTTTTCTTTTTTTAAACATGGAAATGGTGCATCTCACATAATGTTAATTTATGACATCCTGGAGAAGTTACATGTGTAAGTTGAGAACAGAATTACTGCCCTCATAGTAAATGGCCTTAGATTTCTATGAAGTTTGTTTTGCTTTCCATAATCATTTTCCCCAAACACAAACATGTTACTTGTTAATTGTAAAAAATTTTAATGGCCCAGAAATGAATGATACAGGAAAGTGAAAGTCCCACATTATCTAAACCCCAAAGTAATAACTGTTTAAAATTTTGTGTTCATTCAACATCAATTTTTCTCTAGTTTTAAACAATTATGAAGTATTTGATACCAAAATATATATATAGCCTACGTGTGAATTATGAAGCAAAAGCCAAAGCCTATGAACCTATTCTCCAATTTAATAAAATGTTTCCATTGCCAAGGAACTCCCCGTGTGCTGCTTTTTGATACAATTGTGTAACTTCGTATGTTTTTGATCTTTATAGAACTGGTTTCATACTGTTTGTATTTATTTTATCTGCTTTTTTTCAGCTAACACTATGTTTTGAGATTGATCCATACCCAGCTACTCACGCAACTGGGTGATAAATGATACATATTTCGTTTTCCTTCTAAATGGACATTTGGATAATTCTGGAAACAAAAGGATTGGCTGCTATACATTCTGTGTAAATCACCGCTACTCTTGTGCAAGGAAGGGAATTCCTGAAGTGTGCTGTAGGCCTGTACAATTTTACAATATGATGCCAAGTTGTAAAGGCATTTCCATTCCTACTGTTAATTTACACTTCTTCCAGCAATATGTTAGCATTCCTGGTGCTCCATATACTTGTCAACATTTGATTTTGTCTGAAATTTTAATTTTTGGCTGCCACCAGGGTGTTGAAATGGTATCTCACTGTGATTTTGCTTTTCTGTGAGTAGAGAAGTTAAACATCTTTGCAATATTAGCTTTTTTGGTAAAATATCTCATTTTCTTAATGAACTATTTGTTTTGTTTATATTCTTTGCATATGTCTGGACACTAAGCATATTTTTAGTAATGTGTCAAATATCTGTGGCCTGTTTTTATCACTTTTATGGTGTCTTTTTAAAAAAAAGTTATACAACACGAGCAGAACAGCATAATGGACCTTCATATACAATCAATATGAAAGATATCTTTTAATGAACAGATATTTATAATTTTATCGTATTTTCATCTTGATCCTTTTGTGTGTTGCTAGTGCCGTGTGGTCCTGTCTAAGAAAGCCTCTTCTACCATAAAGTCCTATAGTCTCCTATATTTTCTTCTCAAAGATTTATAGTTTTGCTCTTCACATTTAAACTTTTATTCTACCAGGCATTGATTTTCATGTATGGTGTGAGGTGGGAAACCCACTTCATTTTTTTCCATGTCAATCATCAGTTGTCCTAGGTACATGTCTTTATAGGAACTTTCCCCCACTTACGTAATGCCAGTTGTCATAAATCAAGTTTACATATCCATATGTGCTTGGGCTTATTTGTCAGCTCTCTTTTCAGTTCCATTGATCTATTTGTCTATTCCTGTGCTGATACCACCTGTCTTAGTAAACATACCTTCGTAATAAATCTTGATATCTGGTAGGATAAGCCCCTCCCCTCTTGTTTTTCAGAAATGTCTTGGCTGTTCTTGGCTATCTGCTTTCCATAAAAGTTTAGCATTAAAATCTTAAAAAAAAAAAAAAAAAAAAAAGTCCTGTTAGGATTTCATTAATACTGCCTGATGTCTTTTTAAGTTACCATTTTCTAATTGATGCTTATGTATAGAAACACAGTTAACTTATTTATTGATATGGTATACAGTAACATAGCCAAATTACTTTATTAATTTAAATAATTTATTTGCAGATTTGGGGGGCAGTTGCTAGATAGACACTTATATTATCTGCAAATAGAGACAATCTAGTTTCTCCCTTTCCAATCCTTGTATCTTTTTTCTTTTCTCTTGTTTTTCTGTCCTTGCTCGGATTTTAAATACCATGTTGACTAAAAGTGGTGATAGCAGGCATATTAAGTATGCACCCATTTGTATTTCTTCATTAAGATGTGATATTAGCCATACATATGCCCTTTTCAGGTTAAGGAAGTCCCCTTCTATTCCTCTAAGGGTTTTGGGGGTTTCTGTTTATGTTATTGTTTTTTTAAGACAACAAATCTTGAAACTTACTGAATTCATTTTTCTTCATCTTTTTGGGATGACTATATTATTTTTCTTTTTTAAAAATTTTATTTATTAATATGGAAATGTATTATGAACTCTTGAAAACAAAAATCTGATTTTTTAGGTTTTTTAGATAGATAACTGTCATTTAGAAAATTCAAAACCGTCAGAAGAGATTCAGAAAAGAAAGTACGGAAAAAAACTTAGATCATAATGAGAAAATAGTTTTCAGGTTGAGTTCAAACTCCCATTAACAAAATTTGTCAAAGAAAGTGAATGATACTTTTTTAACAAGTTAAACAATATGTATAAAGATTATTTTACCCTAAAAGAGCTACGTAAAGTTAGCGTTTGATTAAAATATTTACATCAATGATGCTTTGTGGACTACTTAATAGTTTTGGGTTTTTTTGTTTTGATTTTTGATTCTTTAAAAAGATCAACAAGGGCTGGCCGGGTGGCGCACTGGAGAGTGCGCCGCTTGGGAGCGCGGCAGCGCTCCTGCCGAGGGTTCGGATCCCATGTGGAGACCGGTTCCCGCTCGCTGGCTGAGCGCGGTGCGGGCGCAACACCAAGGGTTGCGATCCCGTTGCCGGTCCCCGGTACAGGCGCGACACCGAGGGTTGCGATCCCGTTACCGGTCAGTAAAAAAAAAAAAAAAAAAAAAAAAAAAAAAAAA